ACCTTAAGATTGCATGCCTTCTCTGGATCCTGCAAAGCCAGGCAGGGTGCTAGCAGCCCCCCTTCTGCTCCCCAGGGCGGTGCTGTGTGCTGAAGTTCCCGTCTTTTCTCCAGGATCCTGCGGAGTGGGGTTGGCTTTCTGCGCATGCTCACTAGCCTTCTGCAAAGGCTCGCTCTCCCGCCCTTGGGGGCGTGCACAGGGGGCCAGCCTGGGGGTGGGCTTGTGTGTGGGAGGTGCGCGAATGTCGGGGGTGCTGTGGGCCAGTTGGGGGCCCCGCAGGTTAGGTGTCCTCAGTGGCTCAAGGGTAGCCTTCTGATGGCGTCTGCAGACGGTCGGTAGGATCCGCCTCCTTTTAATCCATTCTGTGCGGAGCCCTGAATGCTGTTCTCGCAGCGCCCACCGCCCCCCTTGTGCAGATCCTGACTCCGTGGATTAGATGAGGTGGGAGAGAAACGGGCCTCCTCGGCAGCGTCCCGCTCAGCTGGGGAGCCGGGCGCTCACCGCACACTCACTTTCCCCGGGGAGAGGTCACGGGCCTGGAAGGTCTCTCTCGCGCTGAGCTGCGCGCCTTAGGGGAGGGGCGACTCGGTAAAGTGAAATGTTCCTCCTAACCTCGACAGTGCTTCCAATCTCGGATTTGTTTTTTGCTCCAATGGAGTCCTGGAACTTCTCTGCTGGACTCTTCGACTCCCACGAAGCCCCCTCATCCACAAGTGATTGTCATGTCAACCTTCAAAAACAGAAACTGGTTTGAGAGAGAAAGCATTTATTTCGGACCAAAGAATTGCAATCCAAGAACCACAGATTCAGGGAGAAACCCAAATAGTGTCCCAATTACAGGAGAGGGGTCAGGGTTTTTATGGGAAAAAGAGAGGAAGACGAGGTGGGTTGTATTAAGGAGGAGTTCGTGGGTGTTGGATGAGGTGAGGCTAGACTTGTCCTTCATTGATTGGGTAGCAATCTGGTCATCAGCACAGTCCTGTTCCACCAGTCCCTACAGACAGGATATTCCTGTCCTCACTGACTTCTTGGAATAATGGCCGTTGGGTCCAGTTAGGAAGATAAAGGAAACAAGAGGTGCAGGCAGTTCCTCTGAAATGGCGGCTCCAGCTCTATTTTAATATGGCTCCACTCGAGTCAGCTTTCATAGTCAAAGTCGGTGTCTTTGGGGGTAGACGGTAGAAAATTCTTATGCCACCATGTTGATAACCTTGTCACTCCCTATCTTTCCCCAAATTTCCCCTTTTCATAAGGATAAGAGCCATATTGGATCAGAGCCCACACAAATGACCTCATCTTTTTTTTACAAAAACACTTTTACTTAGGTATAATTGATATACAAAACTAATGACCTCATCTTAACTTGATCATTAGCAAAGACCTTGTTTCCAAATAAGGTCACATTCACAGGTGTTGGGGGTCAGGACTTCAACATTTTTAGGAGGGACACAGTTCAACCCAGGACAATGCCTCCCCACTCGTGACACGTTTTCAGGTGACAGTGTTGCTGTTCCAGTCTGATCTGCTGACTTTGCCCACCACATGGTGGCTTTTGAAACTGTTTTCAGTCTGACAATGAAGCACTTTTTATTGCAAAAATCACTCAACAATGGACCGATAATCAAGGTCGACCTTCAACGTTCCCCGTGATCCACAGGCGTGTGGTATTGTTCAGTGCTGAAACAGCCTTCCAAAATCATGGCTAAAAGATTTCCAACTCACCTCCCTCACCTCTTCCTAGTCTCTGCACCTGAGTGAGACAGTTTGGTCACTGAATGCAGCAGTCCCCAGAAAGGGGTCATGTCCCCTTGACCACTTCCTGGACAAGGATCAGGATGAAGATGGTGGAGGATTATGGGCTGTAGAGTTTGGGTGTCCCCAAGACCTCCATCAGGCTGGATAATTGGCCAGAAGGACTCACAGAACTCACTGAAAGCTGTCATACTCATGGGTACAGTTTATTACAGAGAAAGGAAACAGATTAAAATCAGCCAAGGGGAGAGGCATGTGGGGCGAAGTCCAGGAGAGACCAAGCGGGAGCCTCCAGTTGTCTCTCCCCATGGAGTACTGGACAGCGCTAATTCTTCGCTAATTCTTCCAGCAAGGATGTGTGACAGCATTCATGGAGTATTTTCAACCAGCTCACCTGAGCCTTGGTGTCCAGAGTGTTTACTGAGGCCTGGTCACACAGACATGATTGACAGCCTGTGTGGCTGACCTCAGCCTTCAGACCCTCTGGAGGTGGAGCAGACACCACTTGGCCCAGAGCCACCAGCTAAATCATTGTTCACATAGACTATCTGTCCTGGCCCAAGGCCCCCAGGTAAACAAAGACACTCTTATCAGGCAGGGCACTCCAAAGGCTTAAAGATTATTACAGAAAAAGAAAAATCACAGACCAATGTCCCTCATGAAAATAGATGAAAAAGCTCCTAACAAAGTGTGAACAAATAGACTCCAACAGTGTTACCAAGACCAAATAAGGGTTAACCCAGCAGCACAGGTGTGCTTAACCTTCAAAAATGAAAGAGTGTAGCCAAGTGTCCATGCCTTGTGTCTGAGAACAGCCCCAGCTCTCAGGAGGAGGGGCAGGTTTGCATTTCCACCATGGCTGTCAGTTCCAGTTGCTTGAAGATCATACCTGCCCAGCAATGAAACCGAGCAGGGAGAGGGGAAAAATCTTCTCTGGGCTAGAAGAAGAGAGCAAAAACTTTGAGATGAGCTTTGCTGACTGCAGCTGCGCGTATTCAGCATAATCAACTCTTGTGTAAAACTAACCAGGGCTTTCTGTCCCTCCTTAGTATATGAGTGAGCTGTTTCTCCCAGGAAATCAAGGTCCAGACGTCAAGATTCAGCCTCACAAGGCCAAATGCAGGCTGAAGATGACAACTAACCAGAAAAGTCCAGACAGTCAAGGGAAGAGAAATTCCGTCTTCAAGGCCAAAGGCAGGCTGGTGGGAAGGTGCAGACCACCACAGCCACATGCTCTCCCTCCCCTATCTAAAAGCCCAGCACATGCTCTCCCTCCAAACGTTTAAAACACCTTGCCTCTCATCTTTCGAGGAGATGGGACAAATTTGAGAGCTCTTGTCTCCTGGCTGACACACCCAAAATAAAAACTCTTTCCTTGACATAAGCCTGGCGTTGCAGTTTTATTCAGCCCCTCTTGTGTGGCGGGTAAAGAACCTGGGTTTGTATCTGGTAACAGCAACAGTATCCTCATTCCTAAAGGGATTAATGTGCAGCTCTGGCAGAAGATGGAAATTAAGTGGAGATCAAATAACTTGCCAACTACAGTTGATTGTTCATAGTTCCTGAGCAGACAGATGTTGAAGAGTGGACTTCCCGGGAGGAAGATGCACCCACAGTGTAGAGATTGAAGGAGGGAATGGCAATGTGGCCACACAATAAAAACACAACAAAATACACAACTGGAACCTGACAATTTTAAGGACATGAGAACAACCAGAAGGAAACCTCAGGAAATCAGTATTGAGAAGAGTGAACCATCAAATTTTCACTAGTAAATTGGTAGCCCTGATTTCTCTAGTAAATGAGCAGCTACACAAGATATGCTTTTTATTCATCAGTCTCCAGAATTAGGTGACAGAGATACCTGGCAGGGACCTACAGATGCTGGGGAGAAGGTGTGGCCTGGCAAGCAGAAGTTCTGAAGCAGCAGAAAAGAGCAGACAGAGAACAGAGAGCAGCAGAGAACAAAGCAAGAAAATGGGAAAGGAAGCGCATTATGAAGGAAGAAGGAACAATCGATATCGACGCGAAACTTGCATAACAAATGTTCTTCCAACGTCATAGCGTCAGTAGGAGAGAGCTGAGCCCCACAACCCAAACATCCGTACGTATTTAAGAGTGTGTTTAGAATGCACAACTTGATTTTAATACATTCATCATGCCATCCTGGATCCCCCAAAGGACCTTGAACTCTTAGGGATCGAGACTCAGAAGAACAAAAGATGAATGAGACAATATTTTCTTCAACATGTTGTATATATAAGACAATTGTTTGCGGGAGTGAAATTATTATAAGTGGAATGTGCCGGTATCTCTTCAAGCTAGTGTTTCCAGCTAAATAAATGGCTTTAAATACTTGTATGGAGGGGAAAAATACTGCCATCTATTATGCTTTCCGTCAATGTGCATAATGAGCAAATAAATCATTTAAAATACTTCTTGTTTCCGTGATTATGGAGGGGCCTAAGGGGCTGCGTGGGACATAGGGAAGGACTGGGATGCGCAGTTGGAATCGGTGGGCGGGGTATGTGGGGAGATGGGCGGGGCTTGAGGCGGCATCAGGAGCTGGGGACCAGAAAGGGGCGGGGCCTGAGGGTCTAGTTGAGCGAGGGGGCGGGGCCGGGAGGTGGGTGATCCGGTTGACGTCAGCTGGCATTTATGGGGGTGGGTGGCGGAAACTTGGGAAGGGTTTCAGGGAGCTGGCGGAGACCTCAGGAAGAAGGGTCCGGGGAAGGGGGTGTGTTAGGATGTAGGGAGGTGACTGAAGGGTTCTTTTGGGGGCTCTGTGGGGCTCCGAGAGGGGCGGAGCCTGGGAGAAGGTGTCTGTGAGGGTCGAGTGCCAGGGCGTGAATGTCTGGGAGTTGATGGGCGGTGGACCTGAAGGTTCGGGGGTGGTTGGATCCGGGAAGAGGCTTGGGATAGGAGCCGTCCTGGCCGGCGGGAAACCGACAGTGGGTCCTGGGCTCCAGGAGACGGACTCCGCCGGTGGTGCCGCCCGCGGCCCGGGAGGATCGGGCCTCGTCGTCCCGGGAGCGCTCCAGGTCGCGTGGCCGCGGCGCCGCCCGCTCCTCCTCCCGGGACCGCGGCCGCGGAGGCCGGGGTCGAGGCCGCGCTGCCCGCCCCTCGCCCTCGCCCTCGCCCACAGGTGTGTGCCGGCCCCCCCGCCCGTGGGAGGAGGGGGCGCGGACTAGGACTGTGGGGGCGTGATCCTGTGACCCCGCCTCCTCTGCTCTCCACCCCCGCCCCGCCCTAGGTGGTCGCGTGCCCCGTTTCGACCCCACAGCCTTTGTGAAAGCGAAGGAGAAGCAGCAGAGAGACATCAAGATGAAGGGAGCGCCCGTTTCCGCCTGTCCTGCCCACATCCCCGCCCCTTCACCTGGCCCCCTGATCTGTGCCCTGGTCTATCCCCCCTCTTCCCACCTGTTTCCATCACCTGTCACCTGCTCCATCTCCCCCCTTCCCCCTACCTGCTCCCGCTTCTCACCTGACCTTCGCCTCCTCTCCTGACACCCCCACAGCTTGGTCTGTGACTCCCCATGCTTTTCCCTACTTAGGCCGTGTGACCTCAGGCGGGTCACCGGCCCTGGCTGGGACCCCCAGGGGCGCAGCATCGCCCTTCCCCACATTAGCTGGGCGCACAGGCGGGCGTCTCCCTCCCGCTCCCCAGGCAGCAGCAGCAGCGGAACCGACTGGGCAGCGGAGGAAGCGGGGACGGTCCGTCCATCTCCTGGTCTCGGCAGACCCGGCCTCCCGCTGCCGTGACCGGCCGAGGGGACGCGGCCAACCGCTCCCGGAACCGCAGCTCCTCGGGTAGCTGAGCTGGAGCGCGGGGGGCGGGCGGGCGGGCCGGCGAGCGCGGGAGGCTCACCCCGTCCCTCTCCCCCTAGTGGACAGTTTCCGCAGCCGCTGCTCGTCCGCCAGCTCCTGCAGCGAGTTGGAGGATTTCTCGGAATCCCTCCCGAGAGGGTAGAGCTTGGGCTGGGGGATGGCCCGCCTCCAAACGGGTGTCTGGGGAGACTGGAAACAGTCTTCTGCAGGGAAAGTGGGTTCTGGAGGCTGGAGGCTTGAAACCACGGAGGAGGGCGAGATGGGAGTTGCCCAAGACCCCCACTGGGCCTTGATTCCTTTCTCCCCCAGCGCTGGCCGCCGCGGGAAGCCTCCCAGACCCCCCACCTGGAGCGGGTCCAACAGGGTGAGCGTCCTTCCTCAGGCCTTGGAGGAGGTGGGGCAGCGTGACACACCAGAGGACGCTGTCCCTCTCTCCCATGAGTCCATTCTGGGGGTCAGGGTACAGAGGCAGCTCTGAAATGCCTCTGGACTCAGAGTGTTTTGAGATCCTTGGAGGGGAGGAGGTATGATGGTGGCAGGGCCAGAGGACGCTGGGCAGAGCACCTGCCCCAGCCTCAAATTGCCGGGTCTTAAAACCTGGCTCCCCTTCCTGTCACCTGTGACTCAAGGTGCTTACTTAGCCTCTCTGGACCTCGGTTTCTTTATGAGTTAAGTAGAGATGGTTACAGTAGTTGCCTCAGAGGGTTCTGCTGGAGACGCAAGGAGGATATTTTGCATAGAATAAGTGCCCCTTAGGTGTCAGCCGTTGTTTTTTCTGGGGTCCTTAGGTTCAGAATTTCCGGTAGGATTTAGGGGGCAGGAATAGAGGGAGGGTGCCTGACCCCCTTCCTGCCTCCCCCAGCAGCAGAAGTCCAGCCCCGTGGAACGCGGCCGCCATCAGAGACGCCTGGCCAGTTCGGGGGGCTGGGTCCCCATCAAAGGTGAGCCTGGGACTCCTCATATCCCCCTACCTGCCCCAGAGCTGGCTGGGATGGCACCCAGCGCAGCTGGTTGGGCCCCGGAGCTCCCCGCGGCTCCAGGCCCCTCCCAGCCCCCCACCCCCGCTCTGTTCCCACAGAGTACAGCTCCCACCACCAGGCGGCCGACAGGGCGGAACTAGACGCCGGCCTGAAGGCCCTGCAGGAGTACATGATCCGCCTGGACACGCGGTCGTGACCCCAGAGAGGGAGACTGCCCCTCTGTCCCCCGTCCCCCAGGATTCTGCGTGGGGGGCGGGGTCCGTGCGTCCTTCCAGCACGTCCCTTCCGGAGGTTGAGGTCTTGAGGAAGACACAGAAGGAGGGGAGGTGGGTGGCAGGACACAGGGTCACAGTGAGTGCACCTTTATTGGAGGGGAGGCAGTGGGGTTTGTGACTGACGGTGGGGTGGGGGAGATACCAGGGCCTCAGTCCCTGTAGTGTGGCCAAGTCTGGATGATTCTGTAGAGCTGGTCACCTGGAGAGAGCGTGTCCCGCACATCCCGGTGACCTTTGACCTCGTAGTCAGGCATCAGGGCTCCCTGGGCCACGCCACAGGCCAGCAGACTCTGGGCCGCCCTGAGGGCTTGTAGTGGGGGTGCCCGCTCTGGGGGAGGCAGAGGCAGGAGTGAGGCTGGGGTGCCCTGAGGGGCAGAGGTCGTGTGGGGCAGGGGTTCCCATGGTGCCCTCCCAGCTGGCCTGCTGGGGCCCAGAACCGGCTCTGCCACTCCCTGGCAGTGACTCCACCTCTCTGTGCCTCAGTTTCCTCACTGTGAAAGGAGAGACTCATGGCACCTGCCCACAGGGCTGTGGGATGGTAACATGAGTTCCTTTCAGCCAATGTCGGCTGGCAAGGTTCTCACTGATTCCCCTTCACCTGCCCCCAGCCCTCCTGTTCCTACCCGCTGCCATTTATCCAGCACTTCGTAGGTGTCATGGACTCGCCTAAGAACTTGATACAGAAGAACTAGTCCTCACCAGAACCACGTGGTTGAAAACGGTCATTGTCGAAAGGAGGACACGAGGCTCAGAAAAGCAGAGTCACTGCCCGAGGTCACAGAGCGTGTCGGTGGCAGGGCTTCTGAACCACCATGAACCACTCCCTGCCATCCCCCAGGCCCCATGTCGCCCCTGTCCTGACAGCTGGACACTCACTTATCCATGTAGTTATCCATGAAGCTGATGCCGATGAGGATGGAGTTCCAGGTGCGACCTGAGTGGGCGCCATGGGTGTTCCAGCCCCGGCCCTCATACACAAGCCTGTCTTCTCAGATCAGGAAGCTGTGGGGGTGGGGGGTTGATGAGTGAGGGAGGGCTTCCCGAGGGAGGACCTCTCTTCTTCCTCCACTCACCCTGCCCCTGTTCCTGCCACTCACACACAATCCCCCGACACCCTCCCTCTTCTTCCCTGATCTTCCACAATAATAGCAATGACAGGGGCCCCTGCCATGTGCCAAGCACAGCTCTACATGCACCTTTTTCCATCTTCACAGCAATCCTGTGAGTCACTACTGCCTCCATCCCGTAGATGATCAGAGAGGAGCAGACACCTGCCCAGAGTCACACAGTGGTCAGAGGCAGAGCCAGGATTTTCACCCAGGTTCCCGTGACCCCCACCCACATGGTCTGATTTCTTGTTCTCTCCTGCTTCCCTGGAGGATTTGTCCCACTCTTGATTTGATGGGTCTCACGTGCAGTCCTCTGAGGGAGCACTGTTATCATCTCTGCTTTAAGCTGAGGAAGCAGAGACTTAGAAAGAGAGGGGATTCACCCAAGGTCATGCCCCGGGGACTCCTGACTCTCAGAATCTCCACCAAGAAGCTCCTCTGCCCTCACCCCAGCCTGCTTCCTGCTTCCTGCTCTGTGCTTGGTGCCCTCAGTGACAGGATGGGGACTCAAGGGCTGGCACCACAACCAGACCAGACCCTGGAGCCCCAGCATCTGCCAATCTTGGCAGCAGATCCTTAAGACTCCCTCATCCAACACGTCTTGATGGAGCGATTCTGACTTGGCACATTGAATTAACCAGGGGATCAGCTTCTGGAGCTGCAGTGTCTGCCTCCTCAGCCCTCTGGCTCACAGCTCACCAATGACGCACATAATGTTGGAACTTTCCAACCTTGGGTCCTGAATCTGCCACTTAGGAAGCCAGACGCTCAGAATCTGGCTCTGAAGAGACTAGAAATACTATAGTGGAGCCGGCCCCAGGACTGGGTGGTTATGGCCCGGCCACAGCCCCAGCCCCTGGAAGGCAAGTGGTGCTCCCTGTGCATTTGTCACATGGAGACATCTGACTGAAACCTCAGCCACCACCAGGGGGGTACAGTCAGGAGCCCATTGTACCGGGGAAGAAACTGAGGCTCAGAGAGAGAAGGCGACGTGACAAGGAAGGGGGATTCAGAACGTTTGAATCACACTCTGAATCCTAAAATCTGAGAAGTTGACTTCTCTCCTGTAGGAGGATTCAGGCCAGAGGCTGTGGACCAGGCTCTGGTCTTCTGACTTCATGGAAACTCTTGGATGGAGCGCCCGCCTCTTGGAAACAAAATCTGCAAGTTGGAGCCTTTGAATTGTAAGATCTTTAGCCTGAAGAGCTGGGGACACCCGTGGAGGCTTCTAGATTTCTCTCAGTGAGGTCCTCAGATTCCCCGGCCTCCCCCAGCCCCACTGAAGCAGTCTCTAAGGGAGGTACCTGGGGACCTGCATCTCCAGGAAGGCGATGCTGGTGCTTCCCGAGGTCTGAGAACCTGTGGGGTTCAAACCCTCTTTCGCTGTGGAAACCCGTGTGCTGGAGCCCAGCCTGTTACCATGGACAGGGCTCTGGTGGGCGTGGGCCCCAGAGGCAGATCTGAGTGTCCCTGTCCCTGTTTCTGCCCTCGCCCCCTCGAGTCTGTCCTCCCCACAGCAGCCAGAGGGAGCTCCTTACACTAAGCAGGCTCCTGTCCCTCCTGTGGCTCCCATCCTCCTCATAGCAGAGCCACCGTCCTCACCGGGGCCCACAGGCCCTGTGCCCTCTGTCCCCTCCTCCTCATTTCCTCATTCCTCCCGGCCACCTCCAGCCACCCCGACCTCTGTCCCTCAGGGTGACCCGCTCACTCGGCCTCAGAGCCTTTACCCCGCTCTTCCCCCAGCTCACTCACTCTTCCCTCAGCTCCCCCATCCTAGAGCCACCTCAGCCACTCTTCCTTTTTATTGTCACTTCTGTCACCGTGTGAATTCATCTGGGTGACTTTGCTTGTTTCTCCCTGCTGGTCTTTAAATCCTCCTGGGCTACTCCCGTCAGTTCAAGGCTATGTCCCTATCCCAGCATCCAGCACAGGGCCTGACACATAGCAGGTGCCTAATGGCCATAGTCCCTGCATTTTGGGGCTCTGACTTCATGCCAGGCAGTGTCCTAAGAGCCTGGCCTGTATTGACTGGTTAGTGACCAAGTGGGCACAATCCCGTTGACTGTGCAGAGGAGGAAGAAGAGACTGAAGCTGAGGGGGTGAGTGACTTGCCCCGGGTCTCGGCCACCGTGAGCAGAGCTGGGACAGGAGCCCCGCCCCGTGCAGCCTGTGTCTGCCTCGTAACAAAGCACAGACTTTCTGAGGGGACCCCAGGGTTGAGGACACCGTGGTGCGTGTTGGCAAAGTCTGTCCCGTCCCCAGGGCGCAGAGCTTGGATGTCAGCCCTCTCCCCTCGTCCTCACATCTTTGTGCTGCCAGCACACGCCCAGCCCTCTGTGGTGACCTTGGAGATACCAAGATGCCCAGGGTGTCAGCCAGGCGGCTCAGAGCCGGGTCCCACTGCCCCCGAGGCCTGCGCACCTTTCCCTCCTCCAGCCCCGGCTCCACCTGTGCCCCTCTGCACTCACTTGTAGCCCACGTCGCACCAGCCCAGTTTCCGCACGTGGTAACTCTGCACGTTCTGGACCTGCCTCACACACGAGGCGGGGGTGCCGCAGGGGCTGCCCGCCGTGTGTGACACCACCACGTAGCGCGCGGGCAGGTTCAGGCGCCGTTCGCACGTGGATGCCAGGGGGCCCCACTCTCTCCGGGGCATGATGGGGCCGCATGAGGTCAAGTCTTCTTGAGCCACTCCGAGCCCGAGGAGGGTGAGGAGGGTCCAGGTGAGCAGCGCGCAGGGGCGGGACATGGCGGGCATGGGGCACAGGGACGTCTAGGAGCTCGTGGCTGGCTGGGCCGCCTTTATTTGCTGGGGTGGAGCGGCTGGGAAGGCCTTGCTTCATGAAGGCAGGACGTCCCGGCAGCTTACAGGGATCTCGGACTCTGCTTCCTTTCCTGGCAGGGCTGCAACAGGATGCGGTGTGGTGGATCCTGGTGAGGTGGGTGGGGGGAGCCCCTGACAAAGCCAGAGGGACGCAGAAGGGCACACAAGCCCCTGGGCGCTTCACCCTGTGGTTCCTGGAAGACCCAGGGCCTGGATCCCTGCCCCGCTTTGTCTCTCAGTGCAGCTTTGGGCAACTCAACAGGAACTTAACACCAGAGAAGCGCCCGGAGCCTCATCTCCCTCCTCCCAGAGGAATGGAGGTAACAAAGGCTCTCACTTTTTAAACACTGCTCCCAGGTCCACACGCGATGTCCTTAACCCTTTCAGCAAACTGAAGAGGGGAGTACTGGGAAGCCCATCTCACAGTTGAGGTGACTGAGGCCTGGAGAGGGGAGTCACGTTGCTGAGACACAGGAGATAGCAGAGTCTGGTGGTCCAGAGCCCAGATCAGAGCCAGGCTGCCTGAGATTTATTTCTGGCCACACTCTTGTGTTGAGCTCAGGCAGGTGACATAATCTTTCTGTACCTGTTTTCTCCACTGCAAAATGGGGGGGGCGTGTAATGCAAAGTCTCTAACTCCTAGGGTGGACGTGGGATTAAATGGGTTGTCAAGGGTGGAGCCCTTAGATGTCTGGCTCCTACGGCCCCACAAGCGCCACTGGGACTGAAGCTCACATCTGCCCTTGGTAGTAAGCCAGGTGCTTACGTGGGGCCCCTGGCAGCTCCACTGTGCACGGGAGGGAACCTGACCTCCAGAGAGGAGCAGCCATTTGCCCAGGGCCACCCGGTGGCTGGGGATCCGCTGTTGGGGAAGAAGGCTTTCCTGGGGCCTCTGCCCTGCCCAGGCCCCCGTTCCCACTCCCTCCCAGAGCGCCTGGTGAGTTCAGGGCCGACTGCCTGGGTTGTTCTTCCTCCTTTCCTTCTACTT